TGCCTATGAAGTAAAGACAGTAAATGTTAGAATTTTTCAACTAGGGTGCAGTACACCTATATTGCAAAACTATCGGATTTCTTTCAACAATCAGATCAAGGTCAGACATAATGTCTCTCTCTCTCTCTCTTTTTCTTTTTCTCCTGAAAGGTTCACAATACAAACTTTTCATTATGATAAGATATCAACAATTTAGACTAATGAATTTGCAGTAATGATTTCTTAACTTACTGAAAGTTTCAAGACATATAATCTATTCTTCGCGTATTACATTAGCTCTATATCTTTTGATATGGCTTATATGTCAAATTTTTTGGGAGTTTTCTAGTTTGTCTTTTAACAAAAAAATTCAACAAAGCTACGAATTAAATGAATAAGCAAAATCATAAGAGTTAGAAAAGCAGAAAAGTGAAAGATCAGTTCGTATTTCCTAATGGATAGTATTTCAGTGAAACTGTGAAAAAACAGTTAGCTTCACTGCATCATTAATAAGTGTAGTTTTAAAATGAATATGTTTTGCTATAAAAGCAAACGATATGACATAAAAGTTTGAGAAAAGTTTTGCTCAACGATGAGCATAAATTTATAAAATAAAAATATTCAAATAGAAACAGTTTGAGAATTTTCGTATTGAAAAAAAAAAAAAAAGAAAGAATAAAGGATCAGTCGACCAACCATTTGCTCGCACATTCATTTACATATCATCAAATATTCATAATAACAATGGAAATAAATCGAAATAAATGAATATAATTCTTATCAATTGTTATTTCCAGGATATTAAATTCAGCTATCAAAAAAATTCTTTAAATATTCTCCAGATAGCTTCTAGAGGACTCTCATATGTTTGGCTTACATTCTAGTTTCTTCTAGCATAAAACAGCATACTTCAATGTAATAAACATTGATACTTTATTACATTATTATCAGTCCATCTTAGTCGGTGTGTATCCAACACGAAATATTTTTAAAACATTCATTCAAATACTTTAAAAATAGTTTCTCTCGTGTCACTTGACTCTCTTACATATTTATCAATTTTCTTGAAGTTTTTCTAATAAAAAGCATACGTTTTCCTATTTTCTACTCTAATTAATTGTTCAGCATGATGCGACCAGTTTTTTTAAGGAAGAAAAAAGACTAATAAAAAAACATTTCTTTAACTTTTATTTCACTCTGTTTCATTTAAGCTTTATTTCAAATTCTTAGACTAATTATTTGTTCATAAAGGTCATCAAAAGTTATAAAACTATAAAATATTTCGTTTGTACAAATAAAAGAAAAAAGAAAAAAAAAGCTGAATATTGAAAATTGTGCAAAAATGAAATGGAAAAGTATGAAAAGACATAATATTTTAGAGCATTCTAATAGACGAGACGCATAAGAATGTTTATTCGTTGTATAAATCCGTTACATATTGACGCACTTTAATCATTTTTGTAATAAAAAACTATGATATGTGATTTTCTATAGAATCTTTATTAAAAATCAATAAATGTTATCTTCTAACATTACATTTTTAATTGTTCCTTTCATCGTTTTCACCTTTTTTTTTTTTTTTTTTTTGTTTTGTTTTATTTTGTTATTTTGTAAATTCAATTCTTTCGCTCACTTTATCTTATCTTCATAAAGTGAAATTCAATTTCTTTTTTCTTTTTAGAAAAAGTAGTCTCTTATTTAGCGAATTTTATGAAATATTGTGCATAAAAAAAAAAAAAAAAAAAAAAAAAAAAAACAAAGTATTGGCATTTTGAAAATATAAAAAAAAGGGTATTCTAAATATTTCTTTCCTGAAATTTTCTTTTTACAGATTTTAAGAAATCGATAATAAAGTTAAGTTCATGTATTATACTCCGCAAAAGTGTAATTACTGTGTTCACAATGATAAGTGAACAATTTAAAAAGCATTTCTGTTCATTATTTGAGAAAGTAAAAGGGAAAGCAAATTCAGTTAAGTAAGTAATGTGAAAAGAGTATAGTGATCGTGTGATTATCACTATATCACTAATGATTAATGATGAAAAAAGCAGAAAAGATGAGTAACATGATGATATTATTGCTGTGATCACTCTTTCATAACATAAATTAACACAATGAACCATAAAATATATTGATGTTTCTTTCTTCCTTCCTCTTTCTCTCTCTCTCTCTCTCTCTCTACAGGTAAAACAGATATTCAAAACTTCACTTAGATCAGATTAAATGTTATTTTGTCTGTTCATTTATTAAACAAACATATGTATTTCCATGAGAAACTAGTTATTAATCATATTATTCGCACGAAAAAATTCTTACAAAATTTTTGATTAATTTCTCAACGAAAGAGTTTTTGTTACAATAAGTAACTGATAAAATCATCAATGGGAAAAACATAATATATAGCTTAAAAAACGAAATCAATTTGGAAAGTTTTCCAGAAAATATCGTTACAATATAAAATTTCGAAATTCACTCATATAATAGACTACAACTTACCTTAGAGGTATGCATTTATGCAAATGAATTCGATGAATAAATCGAGCAAATTAAATAATTTGAATGGAATAAATCATTCTCTAAAGTATGCTTAATTTCGTATTAATTTCATTTTGAACAATTGAATGAGATTCAGTTGTACTTTATACTCGACTTTATCAATAAATTGAAATTGATAAAATCTGATAGTACTTTAAGACAAACGATACTTGCAGCAATGCGCAACAGTATTGGAAGAAGAAATAAATATTGAAAAACGTAAAATACAATGATTTTGGAACAATCGAAAGTCAGAGATGGTACAAATGCTACGACAATCTGATAATAATAGTATTATCGCAGATTTTCTTATCTTCTTTTTCGTTCAATAATTTTTATTCCGTCTTATTTCTGAAGTTTGTAACAATAAAAATAAAAAATGGAATTTGGATTTTTCATTTTTTAAGAAAGAACATAAGTGGATAGAAGTAAACGCTGTTTTTACATAATAAATAACTTCTCATCATTCAGTTTTCGCTTTCAGCAGATAGGAATTAGTTAGTGGATGTAAAAATTCTAGCATTAAAAAAATTCAAAATAAGAGTTATTCACATTATTTTACTTTAAAATGAAAAACGTGTTCGCAGTTGATTTTTTGAAAAATCATAAAACTTTGCACCATATCCGGTAAGACAAACACAATAATTTCTCTTTTTTTAGATCCAAACATCATTCTGATGAGATCAGATGTTACACATATGTTCTCATACGTACAGATGTAATTCAATTCAACCTTCATTTCTCGTGCAATTGACGATGTACAATTTCTGAAGAAAATACAATCAAATAATAATATAGAAAAAGTAAATTAAAAAATATTAATTAATTAACTATTTAGATGAATCATAGCAAAGTATCTTCCGTCTAAACTACGCAGAATCTAGAATTTTGATTGAAATAAAACTAATAAATGTGAGGAAGAAAACTATAAGAAAAAGATTTTGAAAATTCACAATTTAGAGAAATTTATGCTTTAAATTTGGACCAAAGTTTTCCAGTTCAAACCAGTTAATTTCTATAAAAAACTTGCGTGATTATAAGGAAGCCTTACACTTATTTTTTTTAAACTTTTTGGAGTTACTGCTAAAATATTCTCATAACTGGGAGATTAGATTGAGTAAAAGTTTTTTCTGCTTGCAATATTTCTGATAAAGATCGAAGTAAAAATGAAAACTACACTCTCGTCATCTTGGTGACAAATTTCTAAGGATTTTTGAAAGGATTAAAATTTAATGAGAAAGCTTTTGAAAAGATTAAAATTTAGAGATAAAACTACAATGGTAACGACATTTTATTATTTAATTTTCTACACTTCAGACATAAGATTAAATCAAAGTCAAATGTACCCTTTTTTATGTCCTTTCAAAATTCTTTGGGATGAGTTTTTCCAAATTGCTCTACCTCTCCCTCTCTCTCTCACCCTCTCTTTCTCTCCATCACAATTATTAGATCCATAATGGCAAAATCAATGTTATTTCTTCTTTGAGATGGCTGTGATAAAATGTGTTAATGATAATACATCAATATTTCAGACCAGTTAAAAGATTCCAGAGTCCAGGAATTTCTCGAGAATCGAAGTTTTCTTCTGTCGGTGAATTACCACTCATCAAAGATATGCATAAAACTTCAGGAAATTATTTTTTCGATAAACAGTCAATTGTTAACTTTATGCTAACAAAATCATATTGAAGAGTTAATCTTCTAACAAATTTATCATGGAGATTGCATTCTTCAAAGAATCGAAAATTTTTTTGCATAAAATTCTTTATCAAAAAATATTTGGGGTACGAATAATAATTAGGCACAAGCTGTTCGTTCATTTTTAGCCAATTAGAACGAAAAAAAAGCAATTAATTATATTTCTTATCTTATTAGCTAACTACTTATAATGTAAAAGATTAAGAATTTTAGCAATTTACTCTTCAAAAAGTATGCAACAGTATAATACATTTGCCTTTGGAAGTATAGAAAAGTTGAATTGGTAAATGGAAATTGAGGGCACCCAATTTAATGATAATTTAAATCATCATTAATTTGATTTAAATCTCAGTTGCTCTAACCTTTTTCCATGAAGACTGCTTCCTGTGAACCATAATTCTTGGATATTCAACCAAATACCAACAAACCTCACTTGGCAAATTTTAAATAGTTTCAGCTTATAGCAGGGATAGGAATAAATGATGGATAAAGCAGATCAGTATTTGTTTTTATAGTAAAATGTCGTCAAAACCAATTGAATGGCTTGTTCAGAAAAGTCGGTTAGGATATTTATGTCTTTTCTGTTTCTGGATGATGATGCCTAGAAGTGATATCATGATTTGATGGATAAGGGATATCAGGAAGGAAAAGAAGCGAAACTTGAAGAAAAAAATAAGAAGTGGAACAAAGACGACGAGGAATGATGATCAAACAAAAGTAACAACAAAAACAAAAAACAATAACAACAAGAACAACAACAACAAACAATAGTAGTAATAACAATAACAATGGCAACAGCAACAACAACAGTAACAGCACTAGCAGCAACGACAATAATAACAAAGTAATGATAGTAATACCTCTTGAAAGAGGAGAGATGGAGGAGAATTTAGAAATCAAATGGAATGAGCGAAAGGGCCCAGAACTATCCAACCTACCTGTTTCTACCTGCCACTCTTTTCCTATCCATCCTTTTCCTCCACCGTTTACTACACTAACATTTACTATTCTATTACCGCTACAATTGGTTGTTTCTCATTTTCACGATTAATTTCACTTCATTAATTAATAGACTTTTTTTCAGGGAGAAATATCTTCTATTGAGTGCATAGACGATGAATAGTGTTTTCTCTTTACTTGTTTACCATTTCTTTCGTAATGAACTGAGAAAGAGAAAAAGTTCTTTAACGCTTGGAATGGCTACGACAAGGATGTCTAGCAACAGCCAGTCCTGTAACGGAAATGAATAGAAACAGGATTTCATTCCATCTTTTAAGAGACAGCTGTTCAAATCAAAACCTAAAATCAAATTCCAACTTAACTTTCAAATTTCTTTAAGAGTGCTAACAACGGAGCTGCAGGAGAAAGCAAATGTTACAGTACGGATGGAATTAAAAAGCTTGTTGGAAGTATATTTAATGATCTGAAGAAACACATTTTGTTGGCGCTCCTGTCTACCATTCACAAGCAATGTCATTTTTCTGCCATTTCAAAGAGGAAAGAACCCAATCTTCCACATATCAGAGCGTAAGAATTTCATTTTTTTCACTAAAAACATTTCACTGTTACTCTCAACCAACTTTCGTTTTCACTTGTTCAATTAAACAAATTGATAAGTAATAAGCGAAATTTTGAGAACTCGTAGAACCAAAAATACAAAGGAAAAATGATTAACCTATCCCAATGTCATGCGAAATCTGAAGCTTCGCAGTTTCTCATTTTCTTCTTAACTAAGAATCAGCTTAGATATCAGTAATTAATAAAGGGTAAACTATAAGAGGGAAGACCAGTACAGAGATGGATAAAATTTTCCGAAATTGAAGGAAAAAGAAAATTAAAATGTTTTGTTGAAAGTTTGCAGTGACGTGGTGCAGAGACGGATGGTTATGGCTGTGGTTGTAGTTGTGGTGATGGGTGGCGGTAATGGCGCTTGTGGTAGTGGTGCTATAGCGCTGTACACTATAGCAACGCAGCATCGGAGCTGTTCCGCTGATGATGCATTTACAATTCTCTCTTGTTACCTTTTTGTTTTTCACAAAAAATTTCTGAAAAAAAAATAAATGAGAAAAAGGGAAGAAGCGGAGCAGGCATCACCCGCCTCTTCACTGATTCCATTAAGCTTGTTTAAAAGCGATCACAATTTGCAGAATTATTTCACATGCAAACGGTTCTAGAATTGTGAAACATTTATTTTAAGATATCAGCCAGATCTCTGATTCATTTGAAAGTCTAATTCACTCGTAAGGCTGAAATACTGATCGCTACTATTTCTTTCAGTTCTGTCATCATTTATTTATTGTATTTATTATAAATGTAAACATCGACTGACCGTCTGACAATTATGACTATTTACTCAGTAAAATAATGGTTGAAGTTACCCGAATTTGAATCATAAATCAAAGTTAAGAAATGTTAGACATTATGAAGTAGCGAAAGAATTTACTGCAATGATATTATACTGTTAAAAATATCCGAATTCAAATTAATTCATAAGAGGCAGAAGTTAAGATGACATTTATTTAACCATTTGACCATCATAGTCATGAAATCATTCATCGTCCTATTGCTTTCATACGACCGACCAATGTTGGTCCTAACAGCATTACTAGTCCATATTGAGAAACTTAGCAATCGAAGAAAATCCAGCAATATTAACAGATTTTTATTTTCAATCAAAATTAATTTTATTTTTTTAATTAAAATTAAAAATTACTGAAAATTCTCTTAAATGTTCTCATTTAAGAAAATTTTCAGACTGATCATTTGTACTAGTGATAAGAGTGTTAATGATAACATTCTTAATCTTTTTACGTGATGTTAAACCATCACGATGGTAGTCGCTTGAAATGGCAGACGACTTAGAATTTAAATTTCCTACAACAATCTGAGATAATGAAGTGACGTTCTTCTAGCAGACGATTTTTATACATGGGATTCTTACTAGTATTTAGTTAACTTCACTGCTTATCATCAAAGGCCGTAAGGAATGGTCGAACAGGTTATGAGGCTTTTTTTTTTATTGGCATTTTCTACAGATGTGAAACCCGCCGGTCAATGCTAAGCAGTAACTATTTTAAAATACCAAAATAGGATATTCAGATCGAAATCATATAAATATTTAATAAATAGTTTGTGTTTCGCAGCAATAGAAAGGAAGAAAAATCGCTTTTTGTTATTTTCGAATTTTCGTCAGCCAGATAAGTGAACAAGAATTCGCATAGTATCATAAAAGAAGGTATTAAATAATGAAATAGAAGAACTGGTCTGGAATCATTTATTTATTCTTGCAAAGTTTTTCTCATCCCTGAAACAGAAATAGGTGTTAAAAAGTTTTCAGGACAAGAATGTATGTTAATGATGAGGCAAGTTTATAATCAACCTGTCCCCTCACAACACATTTATGTTTTCCAACTCTGAAAGAAAAAATAAATTCATATAACGCTAATCATTCGCATTTCATATTATCAATTATGACTGTAGAATTTGAGCAATCAGTGAAAGCAGAAATAAATGCAAATTTCAAATTTTAAATGAAGAATTTTTGAATAGAGAAAAATGTTCCGAAAAAAATAATTTCGAAGAAAAACAAAAGATTAATTTCGAAAAACTACAACAAATTTCATTTCTTTCACTAACTCACTGTGATTTTGTCCTTTCTATTATAATAAGAAACATGTGGAATTCCACTGTCTTTTTTTACTGGCAACAGTTGGTTGGAAAAAAACCGGAAATTTTGAACAATATGATTTACTTTTGAGAATTTAAGCGAATAGAATGCGTATAGACACCAACTTGTTTTACGGTTTAAAAAAAAAAAAATTGATAAACAAGGCGAGGAATCAATATTTCTATTATAATTTTAATAATTAATATTTTTTATTCTTTATATATTTGCTGCTACAATTTCAATTAAAGTTTGCAATTAAAAATTATAAAAATATAAATTGTTCGCTCCATTTTACCAATAAAGATTGAAAAGATTTAGATTTTCAAGTTGATTAGTTGCATAGACTAAAAAACTTTGAAAGAACCCGACAATGGACTTAAAATCAAAACTCATTTGCCAAATGGACTAAAGACATGTCAGACTGTTTGTTGAAATATAACTGTCCTTTTGTGCAATCAATTTCTACTACACTTAACGTCATTCATTAAGTTTAAATTCAAGAAAACAATTAACTACAGCAATTATTAATTAGATTCAATTGCAGTAAAAATTTTCCGAAAAAAAATGCAAGCATTTTCTCTTATAACTATCTTCAAAAGCTACTGCAGAAAAGAAAATGATGCTGCATTGAAACAATTTGATTGATCCTATATTTAAATATTTTCGAATGTGAAATCCCTTTTTTACTGATAAAAAAGAAAATGCGGAAAAGATATAGTAATTTTTACTCCTTTTGTAAACTGGATATTTGATCTGTTCTGAAGTCATGAATGAGAAAAAATAAACCCTGACGCATGCTTTATAAATAGATTAACATTTCTATTAATTTTTTATGCATATGAAACAAAAAGACTGTAAGTCATTTACCGCATAGGGTTCGAGCAGTACTGAAGTTAATATCTTATCGTGGCTACTCTACAAGGAACGAATATGACCATACATCGTCCTTTGTAACATCATTCTATTTGAAATCAAACACATATATCTCTTTGAATTTCATATCATCAATGTCTGACAGTTAAATTGCAATGCAACAAGCCTGGGAATATTTGGCTGAGAAAAAAAGTGAATTAAAAAACCAAAATGAATTAGGAAAGAAGAGATCGCATATTTCAATTAAGTCCACTTATTGAAACATTCATATCATTATATCAAACTGATTGTTTTCTCTACTTAGATAAAATCTTAAACTACCAAACGTTTTATAATCACCTTGATTTATTGGACAAACAACTTGCACGGAAGGTAGTTGACTATCCCCTTGTATGTTGTTGAAATTCCCCATATGATTTTTTAAGCTTTTTTAGAAGATTGTAAATAGTTCATTTGCTATCCAACGAATTTATCTTTAATCACTGCCAAAGAACAATTTTAGCTAATCTCATTAATACAATTATTTTCGTCTGCTGCGCTTCTACTCAATACTAACTATTGTACAGAGCTCTCGCACGAAAAAATTGTGCTAAGATTGTTCTACCCATATCGTCCAATTCATGTTATCTGATTAAATGCCAGGTGACGCAGACTGAAGTTGAAACAATATCAGGTGTGATATAAACACCATGACAACCACTCAAAACATTTTTTGTATCCAATTTGGAAATATTGAGCTCTCACGATGAAATAAAATTCCCTGCTTTTTCATTATCAGTGAATAATTCAGTTTATCATTAAAATCAACAACAGAGTAACAAACACAACAAATAGAAAATAATAACACACACTATTTCAGATACTTTCTTTCTTTTAAACCTTTTCAGAATAATTTCATACTAGAATAATTTCTGAAATAAACTTGCGAGTATTTACTCGTAACTCTCCCATAAAAACATGAGAAATAGAACTTACAAGTTTTCAATGCATACTGCTAAATGCAAGTAGAAATCGAAATCATGAATTAGCATTATGCACTGTAAAATAGTTCCAATACTGTGACACTGTGGGATTATTATAATGCCGAAAATATCGGTGTTATAGTAATTACGACAATTAATTCCAGCAGTGCTGTATTTAAAGTACTCGAAAAATATTTCTTTACTGTTAATACATTTGAATGGAAAGAACAGAGAACTTAAAAATTTGGAAATACCAGGAAGATAAATAATTTAAAAGGATGGGTATGGGATAAACTAAAACAATCCGGCATAAATTATTGTACATCTAACATTCTCACTAATATCATACTTGCTGAGGTAATAAAAAACAGGAACGAATAAACTTTTGAGCCAAATATGGCATAGGTGCAAGTGAATATGATGGTCCAGAGAAAATTTCCAAATTGGACAATGTTTCGACTGGAACTTCGTTACTTTCAACTTCTTTTTTACCAACAGTTAATAAATTTGAAAATGGAGTCTTTTTCAATGCTATATTCCTCGTATGCAATTGCTTTTGCGCTTCTTCTAGCAATTCCGACCTTGCAATCACTCCATAGCCCTGAAATGATTATTTTTGGAAGAAAAAGGAAGCGATGGAATTATTACAAAATAGAATGAAGTCATTACAAGAACTATGGGAAGAGAAATCTCCAACACTGCGCTTAATTCACCGAGTATAACGTAAAAACATTTTATGATCGATAACTTTTGACTTTTTGAGAAACAGCTTAGGTAACTTTGAGAATAACAGCTTAAGCTATGTGATACATACATTTGTTGGCTTAAATATGTTTTATAAAAATGATACAAACCTTTTCATAAGCAGCAACTATTGTAAACGTTCGGTCCTTTCCAATACCAATAACACTTTCTGGAGTTGAATTTAATTTCCTTTGACATAGTAAAGTACCGGAAGAGCTATCGATCACAGAAACAACTGCAAAAACCTCGTGTATCACTACGGTAATACAAATTTTTATTGTAATTATTCATTCTCACAGTTCCTTATATTGTTATACGAAGTTCTACTAAAATCTTTTAACCGTAATAATAACTTCAAATTTTAGTAATAATTTTAATTTCAATAAATTTAATAACAATTCTAAATTAATAGAAATCTTTTTTTTCAAGAGAAACATGAACCGTTTTTATTATATGCAACCGTAAACTGCGATGTTACAGCGAGTTTCAAATCCGGTTCGCAAACAATCCATAATGGTGCAAGCGTGCATATATTGAGAGCATAGATACAACTTTTAGATGATATTATAAGCAAGTTGGTATTATTCAGAGGACCCCATTCTACTGCTGTAAGTTTGCCATTACCCTGATGGACATAAACAACACGTGGAGATTTTTCCTGTTCTGCACACCACAGAGCAACGACTCCATCAGTCTTCAGACTGATCTGGAAACGAACTGATTAGTAAATTTAAGAACTAGTAAGCAATTTGTGGTGGAACTTGTTAAAACATCAGAAGTTATTTCAAATTTTCGAATGTTTTGAGTTGAAAGGAAGAAAAAAAGAAACATCATGAATCGCAGCAAAATGTGACTTTTGTATCCTTGAAACATGCAAAATAGGAACATCCATCCAGTGAACTTCGTTCGACTTACACCACTTTTTCTCATCATTTTTCATTCTTTCCCATGTGCACAGAACTCCCTGAAATAATTTAATATGTAAATAATTAACATAGTAACATTATTAATTGGAAAAAAAAGGACGTTATAAGCAAGTGTTTCCTTAACAATAGATCAATCTTTTATCCACTTGAAACTAATTCACCAAAAAAAATTTTTGAAACAATCAACCTTATTATCAGCAGTAACGAACAAATCACAGTCAAGACAGGCTCGGATAAATTTTATAACTCCGCCAACATATAGCTCGCAGTATTCTAAAGCAAAGGAGCCTAAATCTTCATTTCGACGCCAAAACTGCAACCGATTCTGAAAATTTTCCTTTTTAGGAACAAACTTTAGACGAAATAAAACGAATCTTTATTTTTAAATCAAGCTGGTCTTTGTTACAATTTCTCATTTAAATTAACAATTCGAAACAGTATTCTAATGAAGCACAAAAAATTTACATTTGGTATATCGAAACCGATGTCACAATCAGCAGTTACTATCATTGTCCGTGATAATGCAACTTCACAAACGTCCGTGTAACCCATAGTATCAGAAAATATATTTTCTCCTTCTATTGGATTCTCTCTAGATACGTCAGCCTATAAAATAAAGCAGTAGTGATTTCCATCACTTATATCTTTTTTTGATTACCTTTTGTTTCAACAGCAATGATATTCCTTATAAATGAACAATAAGAAAAAAAAGATTGCTTAGATATTCATGTTGTTTAGATGAAAGTTATATAATATTAATTAAATACCGTTGCGATGGAGATCATTGTAGATGGTGCAATCCACTGCATAAAACCAGGACGTGCACTGTGTACAACGTAATTTGTATAAAGAGGATCCTCAGTGAGGGGAAACAGCGATTTTTTCGGAGAACAGAAAATTGATTCCATCGAAGACAGAACATTAAGTGTTGAATTGAGAATGAAATGAGTCGAATTATCAGCTAGTACAACAGCCAGAACGGAACCATCTTCAGAAAGGTTAAGCCTTCGAACTGGTGCTTGTAATCTTGGTAATAGTTGTGGCTTAGATATCGACTTTAACTCTGAGAGAGAAAATTTCGCTAAAACACCTTCATCACCAGCAGAAAATAAAGTATTCGATTCGGATAAAGCTAAGCATGGAGCCCATTTATGCCAATGCACTGAATGACTGAACGTATTGATGCCTTTTCGACTTACGTTATTCCTGAAAAATAATTCAACAAGTATTTTTATATAAGTTTCAAAATCTAATAGTCCAGTTCAATATAACAGAATTTTATGAAACACTCAAAATGATTAGGAATACCAGAACACCTGTTGCTATATTTAAAAGAAAAGATGAGTTCTATTCATCTTTATGAAATAAGTTCAAACTAAGTAAAAATGTCAAGTACAAAGCACAATGATAAGGGAAAACATAATGCACATTTCGAAGATCTATGCTTGAGGCTTTTGTCTTTAAATAAAATTAAAAACAAAATCATCAGCAAATCTTCCTTACTCCATTCCTTTCTCCTATCCTGAAAAATATACATTCGCTTCAATTTCCTATATTTCATAATTTCTAATTGACGAACCATATAAAAACACGGCCAAATGATATTGCAGCTGCCATTGTGTCCCCAAGGGCTGTAATACTTATAAATTCCAGTAGTGACGAATCCATGAAAACAGCTTTACCAATATATTTGAATCGTTTAACTCCATTTTCGCCAAAAACGTAAAGATATACAAAGAGCTTCTCACAACAAGCAAAGTAATTGGCCTAAAACAGCAAAGATCATGTTTTTTCGAATTTTCAATATTTTTGTATGAAGTCTATGAAATTATTAGGGGATGAAAAATATGTGAAAAATTATCGTTAAATCATACTTGCGAAAATAACGCAAATAAGTTTACTTACCGTGACAGCAAATTGAGAACATCCAATATTATGCGGCCCAGTTCGTAGAATTTCCTCATTTTGCGGAACTTCATTTCCGTTAATCTTGGTAATAACCAATTCCTTACCTTCACTTTTAGTTACAACCTGGAACAGTTCAAAAGGTGAAAAATAAATTTGCATCCTGACTAAATTTTTAAATAGAACTAACCAAAGTGGTTCCACATGAATGCCAAACATCAAGCGGTGCACAATTTAATTCACGACAGCGCAGAACAGTCCACGTGTCAATGCTCCAGATGTATTCTGTACCATCAGCGGTATAAGTTACTGCCTAAAACATTTACATGTTATGTAATAAGAATTGTATTTATCACAACTGCTAATATAATTCCAGTATGTAAACAAGAAATTGATGAGCGTGTTGCGATCATTTCGTTAATGCTGTGACTCAAGACGTCAATTTTGTACACAATAAATAAACTTCACTGATCGGTCTTGATCTTTTACAAACTTTAGAACTTACTTTGCTTGGAAATGTATAGTAAAGGGTGACAATCTTTGCAGGATGAGTGAGAAGCTGTATACGATGGCCACTTTTTACTTCCACAACTATTACATCGTTATTGGAAACAATGAATGCTTGTCTGTAACGAAAATTATTTATAGAAATAATATCTACAAGTTGTTGCTGCTGACATATAACACTGAATGTGATCACCGATATTTTACATTCCCTGATTGATAAACAAGGTTACCAAACTGTAAATAAAATATTTTACAGGAATAAAACTCAACTTCTCATTACCTGTTGTCAGAACTAAATTTTACAGGGACTTCAGCGACTTCAAATCCAGTTCTTCTGGATTCTTTCCAACTGTTCCAATCCATTTAATCAATACGGAAAATATTTCTGCAGTAAAATATATTATAATTCTTCATGTAATTCTTGGAACGAAACTGCGTAACTTTTGTTAATGGAATATTAATCTAACATACATATATTTGCACATTTCACGTACGCAATAAAAGGATGTGACGTTTACGATGCTTGAATGATGATGTGAATATCTTCTTTTTAATCGTCAGCAAATCACTTACACTTTCATACTCGTCAAAAATCGCAAGAGAAAGGACCAGAAAAAAAGGAGAAAGAGGAAGGAAAGAAGACTCGTGTACCCAACCGTAGAGTACCTACACGTACCGAATACTTTTTTTTTTTAATTCGATGATTAAGCTGATCGATTCAGTTTAATGATGTAGAGATAGTTAGTGGGAAGGTGGTCTTATATTCTCTCTCTTCTTCTTTCCTTTTCTTCCTCTTTGTCATCCATCCCTTTTTTGCTGAAATTCAAATGTGTGAGAAGTCATTTTTCCTCCCTTCCTTTTTTTTTTTTTTTGTTTAAATCATTCATCCTTATGCTTAAACAGACAAAAAACGAAATGACGGAGGGAACTGTGACAGAAGAAAGTGAGTTTGATATCGATCTGGTGACTGAGCTATTCGAGAAGTCACTTTTTGGTGACAATGACGTCAGTCTGCCGCTATACATTGACGCATACCGACAAATTAACAAGTAAATAATGAATTTTCTTCCTGTTCTCATTAGAAATTTTTTTCCTTTTTTTGAATGACAAGTTTCATTGCTTAATTTGCTTGAAACAACTTAAAATTAGGCTAAATCTCCATTTAAAAAAAAATGTAGGTCAAATGTAGATTTAGTGCTTCACTGGCCGAAATTGCCCGCATACGAAAAATAATGCATGAACAGATATTCCAGATTTACGGATTTGAAACAAGAGAATAAAAACTGAGAGCTTAGGGACAGTTGTTGTAATCGATTAATTCAAAAAACTAACTGCATTAATCCATTTGATATTCAAAAACTTTGTACTAAAACAAGGGGCTAATGTTGACTTATAAGTATGGGCTTTTATCTTGCTGCAAAAGGCGTAGTCAGGTAAGGCTGATGGGAGTCATGATAGAAACTGTCGTAGTTGGATGTCAAACTCAATTTCTTGCTTCAATTGACCGAAAACTGTTAGCAGTGAATCTAATGGCCTTATTTCTTTCTACCAATTTCAAAACAAGTCAATCGATCTTTGTTCTTGTTTGACAATACACGTCTTCTTGTTTGACTGTCAACCCTTGATTTCGAATGACCTTTATGAGTTAGACATTCCAGTTTATTATTTGTCAGTGACATCAACGACTTTTATTTAATATACAATAATGTCCTTTAAACTGCAAAAGCAGAACATCCCATCCGGAAGTTTCTTGTATAGCCGGCAATGTTTGAGGATTGAGCAGATAAGTGCTAATAAAAGGAATCTAATAAGTCAGCAAGCGGCTTCATTACTTGCTTGTAAACAAATTAAACAAATTATTAGACTATTGAGATTCCTTTAGGACAAAACATGGTTATTTTCAGGATTTAGTAGCTTTGACTCTCGCATTAATAAACTTCAATCTTTTAAAGCAGTTTTATTCCAGATTTTTCTCACTCCTCAATAAAGGATTTTCTTTTGTTGAGAAAGATTTGCTGGAGAAAGAAAAAATCCTGCATGAGTTACATGTAGCTGACCCTGCTCATTATGATACTGTAAATAGCATGGTATCTTGGGAATGTCGTTTGGGCGCACCATTCGAAAAAGTAACTAACTATGTTGGTTATATATAAATTAAACATAAAGGAAATGTCGCAGAGCAGATGTTAACCCTTTTATTTAAACCCTATTTTGAATTTCATAATCTCATTTGAATTTTTTGTTGCTATTTTGAAGGGTTCAAGGACACTGCTGCGACTGCATAGAGCCCTATTATTTATCGTTGACTTCTTGAAGAATTTGAAAGATTCCCGTGAAGAAGATCAGGTATGTTCAGGGTTTTTCAAATTAGGATCCTAGAGATAATCCACCAATATACATGTCGAATCTTATTGTGGAGATAGCAATCATCCACTTCCTTAATGCATATTTCCAAAATTAATATTTTCATTTAAAAGAAGTATCGAAATTTGCAATGAATTTCAGTCCTACTACACACTAATTCTGAATTTTAACAAAATAAAAAGGAATGTTTTCACAGAAACGGCGAATTCATCGAAACTTATTTACAACCTAAAGTGGAATTATTCCCATTTTGATTTCAGATCTCGATGTTATGTCAGGCAAGCTATGATGGCACGTTATCGAAATACCATAGTTGGATTGTTAGGAAACTTGTTGGCGTAGCGGCCCATTTGCTTGCTTCTCGAGATTGCATGTTGAATGCGATTATAAGTGGGAGAAGTTCACGACATGAATATGAAGTCATGCAAGCAATTACTAGGTTTATTAGTATTGCAGAACAAGTTTTTTATCGCTTGCAAAAAATTTATGAAGATAAAAACATTTTGAATCTCCCTTGAAATGCTTCAATTTCAAAAGATACAGTGAAATAATTGCATAGTACTAAGAACTTTTATCTTTTCTCATCATTTTCAAAGTGAATTTTGTTGTTTGTGCATTTTCGTAAATTTTGTGGATCTAAGCCACAACTTACAAAATTTCACTAATCGCTTTTATAATTCTAATATTTTGTTCCTGTATGGATTTTCATTATTCACTTTAACCTTTTGATTTGTTGATTCATCTCAACAGTTTAAAACAACTTTTATCAACACTTCCTCTTTTGGACTCAGTTTATGAATTAAATTCCACTTCAAAAGAGGCAGAATTCAATTCACACAAATTTTTCGATTCGTTTTTTGTTCCTGAAATATTTTAGAATTCAGGAAAATTAAAAAATGATGTTTGCGTGTTGTTAAATCCTGCACTTCTAATCTTTAAGGTTGGAAAAAAGACTTAGAAAATTTTTGACGAATTCTGTTCATAAACTTGATCTGTTTGAGACATTATATACTACTTGCGAAAAGCAAAAATTTGATTTTTCGATAATATCTTTATTAAACCCATGGAGCAGAATTTACTTAAGCCTCGTCGTCTCCTCGCTTTCAATACATCAGCATGTGCTGAATTTTAGGACTTAGCACAATTGGAATGGTGATGTAACTGTTATTTGCTTTAGCTGCAAAGGAGAGACTGATAGAAATGAAACTAGGATGCTAAGATAGTATATTCACTGTTTACCGTTCCTCAAAATCAGCAGCAAACTTGTCAATTCCAGCAATACAAAATCTTCACATCTGGAGAGTGAGAAAATAACATTCTTAAATCCTTAATATCCTTCAACACCGTATTTTTTTCTTGTATTTTTATTTATAAAGGCAGACGGAAAGCTATATTTTACATCATATTTAAATGCTATAAATGCTTCAATGATTTCATCATTTTTGCGATTTTCGCAAAAGCATATGCAGTTGATCGCATGATACCTGCAGAAAATGCATTTTTTGCTGTTTGTTGCAAAGCAGATCTCCAAACAATATCTTCGATAGCTGCAGCAACAGGTTTTGGTCCATCCAACCTTCGTGCCAGCGAAGCAGCAATCTCTTCTTGAACCATAATACTTAGGACTTCCAGGTCTCTTGTCACTTTATTATAGTTATTAGGTGAGATTAAAAAAAAAGTGATACCTATATCATTCTGCTTTCCGTTTCTGCTGTTGATTATGCGTTGTAAATTCCATAGTACATTAAATGGTAATCCCATAATTCGTTTAAAAAATACGGCATCACATCTGTCCTAAAGGAATGAATGCTGTACAGCAATGAGATACCCTACTGAAAAAAAGGAATCGGAAAAATTTTTTTTCGGATAGTCTTTTTTTGGATTTTCGGATCAGCTAATATTCATTTCTGAAAAATGTAGTAGCTAACAATCTTTCATGAATTGCATGAAGTTCATTAATATAGTACTGTTCTCAAAAAAAAAAAAAAAAAAAAAAAAACGGTTACCTGTTCGATGGTGCGTCCTTGGATAAAAACATCTTCATCAGCTTTCAAGAGTGGTACGTAGATTTGATTAAGTTGAGCCCTGCTTCCGTCAGCAATTTTTTCTATCTTATTTTTGTCTTCACCAAATGACATTCGAAAATCACCTCGATATGAGAGCGATATTAGCTCGTTGTAAAACTGTGAAAGTGAAAATTTGTCCGGTAAAAGTAATAATGCTGCCTGAAAAACGTAGAAGTACAAATTCTTCAACAAAAGAAATTATGATGTCTGGAAACTTTTTGAAACCGAAAGTCGACACGGAATCTCAGGCTTCGTGGAACAATTTTCTTTATCGAAAAAATTAAAATCTTGAAACGAGGATTCCATTACCTGTAAAGCACTATAACGATTTTTTTCTATAGCCAGGGTTATTCTCGGTGAAGGAATGATGATGTCCACAACATGTTTTTGCAGTCTCCCAGCTAAATACATCCACCTCCACTCGATCAGATCCAGTAACAAATCATCGGTATCAATTACAGAATACTTTATAAGATAACCCTAAAAACAGCTTTAAATTGACTAACTGCCACATGTTCGAAATTTAGATTCTTTGATTTCGATTTTCCAGTTTCTAATAGATTCGGATGCTATAAGGTTGGTTATCAGATGCCAAAGACCGCACTATCCAAAACCAGTGGAATAAATCGTTATAAATAATTTCAAATAGTTGGAATTTAAACCATACCTGGTATGACACTCGAGTGTTACAATAAACCCTAGCTGCATAGTTCCTTTGAACTTGCGCAATCTTTTGACACCCTAGAAAACGTAATAAAGAGTAATGGGTCGGATTCATACTCAAGTTCTGTTTATGAAACTGTTTTGAATCTCGCGTTGCAATAATGAAATCGACCATTTCCCCGAGTGTACCATCAATCTTCTGCGGTACCGCACCCGAACCATAGGCACATGCATACTCCACGGTATCCAGTGGCAAAATGTCCAGAAGATGCTTCCTATTACCCAACGAATCCTCATGAAACTCTCCCATCTTCTAACTGTCACGAGACAATCCCGGTAACGAGGAGTCTTAATTGCGAGAACTCCAACCACTGTCGATTCTTCCAAGATTAATCACTGCTTTACGAATGATACGACCAGTCTATAAATTCCACTGAATTACATTCCCATATATCTCCAATATTTTCCACCACAAACCATTTATACGAATAACAAGAATCCTGCAAAGCATGTTTCCAAAAATTTTAAGGGAAAGATTTCTTCTTTGAGAACGCATTTCATCTCTTTCTACAATTTAGAAGAATCTCAAAGTTAGAAGGAACCTAAAAATTTCCGTCCTTTTTTTGCGACCTTTCCACTGCTTATTCTGAGAAATAAAATTCATAAAAATTCATCCCAAATCTCAATTTCCGCTACATTTTTTACACTTATTATATTAATTGTACTGAAGGTTTTATTAGAAGTGCACTAATACTTGTGTTTAACTACTTGTGTCCGTCTTTCAAATAAAGTATGGAGGATATATACATATATATATATATATATATATATATATATATATATATATATATATTGATTTTAAATGTAAACGTATCAAAATCTCTGTATGAAACTATTTATATCTCTTAAAAACTACAGTATTATTCCAAATGGATCTGCTCAAAGTAACATAATAAATGGAATCGGTATCTATTTGTAGACAGAAAATCAAAGCAAATTGAACCAAGTCAAAAATTGAAACCACATCAAAATGTCTAGTAATTGGAATCAAAATAGGACCACATAAATGGTTAATGATTAAATCCTAAATAAATGATTAATTACAAAAATGGTTTACAAAAAATACGAACTAAACCAGAAAACTATGCTACTATTAGTTTATGTCTGTAGGGTTATTTTTAGAATATACATTTCATCAATGAATGGCAGAACGGAAATAAATATATAATCATTTAACTTCCAAGCCTTTTACCGCAATGGGTATATAAATTAGTTCTGAAGTAACATTACAAAACGGATCGCAAAATCAAAACGAAAATTCGCAGATTATTGTACAAATCGAAAACATCATTTGGCAATTAAAATAGTTATGGATATACTGTAATATTCAAATAAACGTAAAAAATATCTCATCACGAAAAACTAAAACATTTTCAAATTACTGACAGGATATAAAGGTTTCCTTAAAGTAAGGTAACATTCTTCAGAACTGTTCAGATGTAAGCTGTAAGAAATAAAAAATGAATTATATATTGTAAACCATTGCAAATACTCCTTGAGGGTCAATACAAGAGGGATAAGAATGAGGATGAAGAGGATTGAAGCCCAGATACTTGAAGCAAGATGCGACCTGCAATGATTCTGATTAAATACAAAGAATTAAGAGGAATAGGTTAGTTGACCTAATAGGCAAACGTTGCGCTTAAAAAGCCATCAATGACCAAATTACATTCAAAATAATCAAATGAAAAATGAAAAGTTAGATTACTTTTCAAAGTCTTTGCGTTACATTATTTTCTACTTTTTTTTTTTTACTATTTCTAAAACGGTATTTTCTACTCATCTGTTATGAACATTAACAAAACATTCTGAAGAAAGATAATATGGGTAACGTACCGTTTCATCGACGCTGGTTTTGTTTAGGCAGAGTAAAATACGTTTCACTGGTAAATTGTCTTCACAAAATTCAAATAACGAAACAAATGCACCTTTTGATAAGTTCCATGTACGCTGATCAAAAGGTAGAAATATTGCTAACGTATTGCCCTCTACCAAATGACAACACCAATCGGATGAAACTTCTGGAAATAATGCAATAAATAAGCAATAGCTTTGAGAGTTTTTTGTTTTCACTCATGAATTTGTCGAAGATCTCATCCTTTAAATTTAAGCCTCACACTAAGTTTCTTTGTTAACTCTATTCATCTCCAAATCTGGACAAGTTAACATGCACTAGTTACTTGAAATTTCATCGATTAATATTGCAAAAGTTGCAAGATGATGATTAAAGTTGAAAAAAGTCTGGTAAAAGTTTGATGATAAATAAGAGCGTAAAGAGCTACCATTAACAAAACTTTCCAAGGAGTGAATATGTTCGTCATTAAATAAACCACCAGTAGGGACGTCAGGAATAACACTCGAGGCCCACGTGGCCACGTTTACAGCTGAAAAGATAGATTACCAGAACCATCTATGGCCAATATAAAACGAAATAAGGGAAGACTTACAAACTCATAAAAAAAGCAGATTTCGATTTCATTTTGATTCTAAACAATAAAACTAAACTTACAACCTCTAAATACTCAGTAGTTTAATTAAATCATTAAAAGATCTGAGGCTAAAAATACGCTTCATCATTACTGTTTGCAATAAGGATAGAGAGGAGTTCAGGATGATCATTCAGATGAGAGGAAAACTACAATCATAAAAGGGCATCATTTTACATCTCCGAAAGAAATGAACATAAAAAGAGACTATACTAGCTTCATCTTTATTCCTCCCTCACTAAA